GTGATCCTGAGATCCCATGATCCTGTGATCCCATGATCTAGTGATTCTGTGATCCCATGATCCTGTGATCCTGTAATTCTGTGATCCTGAGATCCCATGAGCCTGTGATTCCCATGATCCAGTGATTATGTGATCTCGTGATCCTGTGATCCTGAGATCCTGTGATCCCACGATCCTGAGATTCTGTGATCCTGAGAGCCTGTGATCCCGTGATCCCATGATCCTGTGATTCTGTGATCCTATGATCCTATGGTCCTGAGATCGTGTGATCCCGCGATCCTGAGATTCTGTGATCCTGAGATCCTGTGATTCTGAGATCCTGTGATTCTGAGATCCTGTGATCCTGTAATTCTGTGATCCTGAGATCCCATGAGCCTGTGATTCCCATGATCCAGTGATTATGTGATCCCGTGATCCCGTGATCCTGTGATCCCGCAATCCTGTGATCCTATGGTCCTGAGATCCTGTGATCCTGTGATCCCATGATCCTGAGATCCCATGATCCTGTGATCCTGTGATTCTGTGACCCTGAGATCCTGTGATCCCGTGATCCCATGATCCCATGATCCTGTGATCCCGTGATCCCATGATCCCGTGATCCTGTGATTCAGAGGGGTTGTTTTGAGGTCTCCACGAGGCTCTCCGTGGCAAGGAAGCCGTTCCTGTTTTTGAGGAATTAGCGAGCCTGTGTGTCTCTGCCTGGCAGCCATTGATTTTCTGGAGAAGATCCTGACGTTTAACCCCATGGATCGCCTGACGGCCGAGATGGGCCTGCAGCACCCCTACATGAGCCCCTACTCGTGCCCCGAGGACGAGCCCGTGTCCCAGCACCCGTTCCGCATCGAGGACGAGATCGATGACATCCTGCTGATGGAGGCCAACCAGAGCCAGATGTCCACCTGGGACAGGTACGGTGCCAGGGCTGGGCTGGGCTGGCTGGGCTGGGGAGCAGAGCCTGCCTGGCATGCTTTAGGCAGCGTTTAGGTAAGCTTCAGGTAAGTCTCTTGGCTGGATTCCACCCCGCCTGCTCCTCCTTCTTTATGCCATGTTGTGATTCCAGCCCAAGCTGGTGTCTTGCTGAAGCCTCCCAGAGGCTCGCCATGGGCTAATAACAGACTGAGAGAGCCAGGCTGCAACCCACGAAAGGGACTCTTCTACATTTGTCATCTCTTTGGAACAGCAAGAGGTTTTGCTGCTTAGCATTGTTCATTTTTGTGCTGGAAAGTGCTTTCCCTGCTAAATAAACAGGTTTTTTTCCACTTCTCTCTGAGAAAATATTTCCCCACACCAGTAAGGGAAGGAGCTGCTTAAATCCGTTTCCTAGAGGGACCCCATTCAGAAGTTTCCTCCCAAATTTGCCCTAACCCAGGACAAATAAGCATTGGATTCCACAGGGACCAGAAGCTGAGCCTGCACCTCCCAGCTACCAAGCACCTTTCTGCTCCTGGTTTTATTCACGGCCTGGGTTGTCTTCATTTGGGTTTAAGGGGCTCTGCAGCCCTTCCCTCTGTCCCATAATATGGGTTACAAAATACTGAAATCCGTGTACCTTTTGGGGACAGGGCCTGGTTTGGAGTGCTATATTCATCACTTTTCACGGTGCATAAGCCCCAGAGGCCACAGACCTGGGGGCCTTGTAGAAAATCCTGAATTGTGTTAGCCTTTGAATGGTTTGCTGACAGCCGTGTTGGAAGTTTAGGACAGCTCAAAGCCTTGAGCTGAGTTCCCTCACGTTCTAGGAGACAGGAGATGACTTTGGGGACAGCTGAATCAAGGCTGTGGATCCTGCAGCACCAGCCAGGTGTTTTGGGGACAGGAGATGATTTTGGCTGTGTGTCGTGGGACACCCGAGGAGGAGTTTATTGCAGTGACAAAGCCCCAGTGCCTGGGTGTAAAGGTGGTATCTGCACCACTTAATTAGTGGCTTGTCTTAATTTTCTTCTGTCTTCACGCAGAGTCAGGATTAAAAACACGATGGAGATGGATTTTCTCGTGTTTGGGCTCGGTTTTATTTTATTTTATTTATTTATTTATTTTATTTAAAGTACAGAGAGTTCTGCAACACTTCTAGCCACCAGCTAAAAGTGAGCAAAATGGAGCTGAACCGAGCTGGTTACAAGGTCTTTGAAAGCTAAACAGTCCAATAGAGAACTAACACCTCTATTATTTATACTTTTGACCCAATAACCAAACTCCTGTGCCCCGCAGTGCAGCACTGACTGTGCAACCAGAAACTATTGCCTGAAATCGTGAAGGAAGAAGACAGAAAGAGACAACACTCAAAATCCTCCATCTTGTCCCATACCTATTATTATATTCTAAGACCCCAAATTCAAACCCTTTCACCATGTGCAATCACACACTTCTATTCTAATTACACACCAGTGATTTTAACTCCATCACTCAAATTTGGAAACCTTCTCCAAGGCCCCGGGTCCAAAGCAGTGTTCTCCTGGGGGTCAGTGCCAGGAAGCACAGAAAGATCCAAACTCCCAGGATTCTGGGATCCAACACCTGGGATAATGCATTTTAAAGGAGCTGAGCTAGGAACCAGTAAATCAGGTGTCACTGGGGGAACCGTGTATTGTCACTTGGGTACTGCCAGGTGATGGCAAGTAAGGAACTCAGCTGGCTTGAGAAGCTGTCCCTCGGCAAGGTGACCCTTCAGGAATGCTCTTGGTCCTTGGCATCAGAGCAAACTGGTGCTGCCCAGTCTCAGTGGGGCTTTAAGGTGATGTCTTTTCCCGTTTGGTCACCAAGCAGGAAGGACTCACGCCGTGGTGCCTGTCTGTGGGATGAGGGGCAGATCTGGTATTAATGTTTTCAATCATGTTCTAGTCCCAAGTGGAGGAGAGGTGATGGACGTCTGAAGGAAGGGGACTCTTGGTTTGGTTGTTGGGCTTTTATTCCTGCATGCCCAGCTCTGGATAAATTATTCACCCCCTGACATTTTAACACACAAGAGGGTTATCTCTGCTGCCAGCAAGATGTTAAATCATCCAGCGGGAGGCAAAGCCTGCAGGAGCAGTGCAGGCGCTGGTTTGGGCCACCAGAGCCTGGTGCCCACGTGTGGTGGCTATGGGGGGTCCCTGCAGGTCTGATGATCCGAGCCAGAAAGCCACAACCTTCCCAGAAAGAGAGTCCCACAAGGAACTGCCTTCTAGGGGGTCTCTGGCAGGTCTCCTAGCCACTGGAGAAGCCTCAGCAAGGTGGCCAGTGGCCACAAGTGATCAGCTCTGATCAGTGATTTCAGCTCTGTGATTCCAGCTCTGCTTGCGAGGCTGTCCCAGGAGCATCGTATGGCAAATTCCACAGAGGTTCCTTTATTATCCAGCAGCTCTGTGAAGGGAGCCGGGAATGGCAGCTCCCCCCTGAACTGGGGGAACGCTGGGGTTTTTATGGGGAAAGCAATGGTACCAAGGGGAAAGACCAATGGGTTATTAAAGATCAGCACGGGCACTGAGGCGTGGTGGGGTCACTGAAACCCCTGGGATGGCTCAGCAAGGGAGACGAGCCCAGATAAGGGATATCTCTCCAGGAGGGCTGGGATAAGCAAATCACAGCCCATCCAAGGGACAGGGCTGGGGCAGGACTGGGGAAGAGCTGGGGCAGGGCTGGGGGAGAGATGGGGCAGAACTGGGACAGAGTTGGGACAGGGCTGGGACAGAGCTGGGGCAGAGCTGTGGGGCAGAGCTGTGGGACAGGGCTGGGACAGAGCTGTGGACAGAGGTGGGACAGGACTGGGACAGAGCTGGGGCAGAGATGGGGTAGGGCTGGGGCAGAGCTGTGGGGCAGAGCTGTGGGGCAGGGCTGGGGCAGAGCTGTGGGGTAGGGCTGGGACAGAGCTGTGGGGCAGAACTGGGCAGAACTGGGACAGAGCTGTGTCAGGCTCGTTGCCCTCTCCAGCCGTGTCTAACAGCCGCGTGTCTCTGGCAGGTACCACATCAGCCTCTCGTCCGACCTGGACTGGAGGCACGACAAGCACCACGAGATGGACGAGGTGCAGCGCGACCCCCGCGCAGGGTCCGAGTCCGCCGCCGAGGAGGCGCAGGTGGACCCGCGGAAATACTCGCAGAGCAGCTCGGAGCGGTTCCTGGAGCTGTCCCACTCGTCCATGGACCGAGTGTTCGATGCCGACTGTGGCAAGTCGTGCGATTACAAAGTGGGATCGCCCTCCTACCTGGACAAGCTGCTGTGGAGGGACAGCAAGCCCCACCACTACTCGGAGCCCAAGCTGATCTTGGATTTATCCCACTGGAAGAGGGCAGCCATAGCGCCCGCAGCTGAGCTGTCGCTGGAAGAGGAGCCGTCCAACCTGTTTCTGGAGATCGCCCAGTGGGTGAAGAGCACGCAGGTGGGGCTGGAGTGCCCCAGCTCCCTCCCGGAGATGCAGGAGCGGAGCCTGCCCTCCTCCCCTCACCGCCTGCACCAGGAGCCCGCCCAGGTGAGCGGCGAGACCGACCCCGAGTTCGACCTGGACGTCTTCATCTCCAGGGCTCTGAAACTTTGCACAAAGCCCGAGGATCTCCCGGACAAGCAGCTCAACGAGATCAACGGGGCGTGCATCTCGGAGCACCCCGGGGACATGGTGCAGGCGGACGTGTTCCAGAAGGAGCGGTGGTGAGGGACCCGCGCCTGCCCAGCCCCGCTGCTCCTCGCTGCTCCTCTCACTGCCCGGGGCTCCCTCTGCCGCTGAGCATCCCCTTCTCACACTGTACCAAATGCCTTTCCGGGGAAAGGCGAGCACAAACCACACGCCCCTCTTCGATGCCTTAGAAGCGCTTCTAAGGGGATCGGGAGGTGCGGGTGAAATACTGAGTTTAAATACGAAATACTGAAATACTGAGTTTCTTACGCTGCCTTAACAATCTTGCCTTGCGATCTCTGGGACCTGTTTGAAGCTTCAGTGTACGAGGGGAAAAATGACAGTACATGGTAGGTTTACAAACAGTAGTCAGATCGACTTCTTTCTTTTTCTCCAGCAACTTGAAATGACAAGGACAAAATTAGCATTTTCGGTATGGCCAGATGCCCTCCTGGTTGGACAGGCTCCCAAAACGCCGGACTTTGAGCCCCTCTGAGGCACCTGCGTGAGTACAGGTATGGAATAAAGTGATGCCAGCCGTCAGCCAGCAGAGAATGGAACTAGAGGTAGGCTTTGGCCATCAGACAAAAAAAAAAAAAAAAAAAAAAACAACAAAACTCTCTGAGAATGTTAACGGGGAAGAAATTTGACCTACAAAGTATGGGCCGTTGGGGATTTCTTTACTTTATTCTTTTCCTGAGGAGAAGACAAAATTTTTTGCTTAAGTGCATTTTGCTGGTTCGTGGTTTCCCACACCAAATCCTTCCCTTGCGCTGCGCGGGGTGCAGCAGGGGATGCACGGGGATCTGAGCTCTCCAAGCACTTGGGAGGGCCCATGTGATGCATTTCAGCGTGGCACCCTGGTGCTGCGAGTCCTGCCTCGGACAGCCGCTCAGCAGACCAGCAAAGCCCGGCTTTGAGGCCAGGGCTGGGCGGGAGGGAGAGCTGGGGACTGGGTGTCCCACGGCGCCGACGCTGCCCGGCTCCAGCAGCCACACACGGACCTGGAGAGGTCCTTTCCTCCTGGAAAAGGAACTGAAGGACGGCTGGTTTTCCTTCTGACAGAGACCTCGTGAGGGAAGCAGCAGCTCCTGTGGTGTTAGACTCGTAACTTTGCTCCCAGCCTCTGCTGGTGTCAGCAGGCAGCTGTGTGTAAGCAGGTGAAGACACAGCGGATCTGCTGTACCTTCTGTTCTCACCCACACTTCTGAGCACCTTAATAGTTAATCCGCTAACCAGAGTTTGTATATGGAAGAAATGTTCTATACTTCTATTTAGTCCAACTGGGCAGCTTTCTAAACGGGAGATGTGTAAATAGTGCCACACAAGACAGTCCCTGCTCTCCTCGCCATCCCGCTGCTGTGCTGCCCAGCACAGTGGCACTTCTTACACTTCTAAAAGAGAAACTGCTGTGTTCCGTGCTGCGAGGCCCGTATTTAACTACTCCTGTGTGAATTATTTCTACCCTTTTGACAAGCAATCCGCTCAATGCTCTGAGGTGTGAAGAAAGCTCGCGTGGGGCTCAGATAACTGACAGCAGCCTTCGCTCCGTTAGCCCTGGTTCCTGTTCTTGCTGGGACCAGGCGCAGGTTTAGCTGCAGTGACAAGCCCAAAAGGGCGTTCTTACTGTGAAGATCTCACGCCAGGCTGATGGGAATGCTGCTGCTCCCACCGGCCAGCAGGTGTGAGGGTGGGGTGGGATGAGGTGCAAGCCCAGGTGCAGGGGAGGAGAAGGCCTTTGGAAGGCTCAGAAAGGCGGAGCCATTTCTCTCTGGTCTCTGAGCATTTGGGTGTCCCCCAGAGTGGTTTAGAGGGCAGAAACAGAGGTTTGGTGTCTGGTGTGTTCAGGTGATTGATATACCTCAGCTGAAGCTCAGCACTTTCACGGTGGTGGGGGGCAAGCAGCCCTGGCAGCCCGTGGCCCTTGCTGGGCAGCCAGCAGAGGCTGGATTTGGGATTTGGGATTTGGGATTTGGAATTTGGGATTTGGGATTTGGGATTTGGGATTTGGGATTGCCAGGCTCGAGGGAGGGCGTGCCAAGGGAGGAGAAGGCAGCAGGAGCCACGGGCTCCCAACAGCAGCGCCCATGGTGGGGTGGGCAGCAGCGCCAGGGCCAGCTCTGGTCACAGCTCCGAGCCACAGGATGGGAGCAGCACGGCCAGAGCAGGCTCTGGAAACTCTCCTGGCAGAGGGAACGGCCCTTTGCTGCCGTGGGGATGGAGGCCAGAACTCAGCCTGGGCACACCACGCCAGGCACGGTGGCCACATCCCCCGAACCCAGTAGCCATTTCCCAGGGGCTGGTACTGCTTCTCCAGAGGCCTGCAGGACTGTTTATTATGGCCACGAAAAGAAACAGTTTTGCTTTCGAGTGTTGTCTTGAGGGCCCACAGCTGAAGTGTGGAACTGGCCCCACAACAAGCAAAGGGAGCGTGCTGCCACCACTGGGATTTTCCATCTCGCTTCGTGAGCTCTTATTTAATGTTGTTCTAAAACCTCAGCACCACATGCTGGGAAAAGGGGATAAGAGGGATGGCTTTAATCTGTTACCTGAGTGTGCTTAGCTGATCACAAGCCAGATCTGTCTCTCATTTACAGAAATAAAATGTAAGGCCTGAGCCTTCCTTGCGTGGCAGTGTGTGTAATTATTTTATAAATTATTATTGTTTTTATTGTGAGGTGTTTGCTCCAGTACTGGTGCCTAGGTTTCTTCTGCAAGTCATAGAATTCACCCAGGTTGGAAAAGACCTTGAAGAGTGGACATGAAGTCCTGCATCACATAAATGTTTGCATTCTGGGGTTCCTTGGTGTTGGGCTGCTTTTCACCCAGCTTTGTTTTGGCCTTTGGTTCAGGTTGTGTGAGCGCTCAGGGTCACGGGGAGGGAATTTGGGCTTTGTCATCATCTGCATTCCGTGCAGTTTGAAGGATCATTCCAGTGCCTGATCACCCATCAGGTGTTTCAGTAGATTTGCAGCAGGCATTAATGGAGAGGGACACGGGAGCCCTGCTGCTGGTGGTGACACGGCGTGGTGGCCACGTGGCCCTGGGATGGGGGCACACCCTTGTGAAAAACGAGGTTCGCTTTCCTGGTGGATTTTAAAAGGTTTAATAAAAGACAAAAAGAGACAAACAATAAAGCAAAAGGTTATAATGGCTGGGTGCTTGGCATTCAGCCAGGAGCACCCCTGCTGTTTTGGAGACACCCTTTAAATTCATCAGCCCCTTGTATATTCATAGACCCATCATACATTTTCAAACTTTTCTACAAACTATTTTCCATATTCCAAAAACCGTTTTACATGACCACACCTTGGGTCTGCCTTTTTAGAGCATGTGCGTTTCTTGGCTGTGGTTTTAATTTATTTTTCTTATCAGTCTTAATTTGGGCCGTGGTCTTCAATTTCTGCAGACAGTTGGTGCTGGTAGCTGGAGTATCAGTAGCAGGTGTCTCACTGGGTGTTATCCAACCAAGCAGGTATTTATTTATTTATATTTTATAAATTATATATATATATAAATATATATATATATTTATATATTTATTTACTACAAAGACACTTTATCAGCCTATGTTACTCCTAGAAAATGGTATCTTAAAAACCATTTCAACACCACACATACAGTATCCACCCTAATATTTGCAAAAAAGCCAATACCATAATATGCATTTATAATACCCTGGATTCAGAGATGTGGGCCTCAGCTGTTTTGGTTTTTACTTAAAGAGCAGCAGAGGGAGCAGAAAAATCCCTCCCTGGGACTCTGGGAGCTGCTCCTGGTGGCTCCTTGCAGGGATCAGCACTTCCACCACAGCCACCCGCTGGCCACGAGCTGGAGCCTGGGAATCCATCAGGAAGATGATTTAAAAACTCCTTTAAATGTCAAAAAGAAGCCTCACGTGTCTCTGTGGCTGCCCCGGTGGTTGTTCTTCCTCAGTCACCAATGTGTGGCTATTTTTGCTGCAGTTTATTTTCCATCGTGCTGGGGCCCAGCAGCTGTTAGAGCTGCACTAGCCAGATCTTCATTGCAGTGACAAAAATACCAATTCGGCTGCCTTTTAAAAGGGGCTTCGGGGACATCCTGGGACGTTTTCCCTGCGCAAATCCCACCCAGACCCCAGAGTAAAACCACAGCACAGGGAATTTTGCAGGTGGACTTTAGGAGGCTGGACTGCAAGCGATTGATTCCGTGCCTTCCAGCAATTCCATGGCACCATCCACAGTTTTTGGGAGCCTGCAGTGTAGTGTGGCATGCAGACATTTCAGCTCTGAAATGTTCTTTCTTTTTCAGCTGGTTCTAAGAGGAACTGAAGGGAACAAATACACCATATGGCGTTTGCTGCTGAATTGTTGCCTTTGACATTTTGAAAGGCAGGGTTTGATTTTGAAGCAGTGCAACATTCGGGTGAATGCAGTCCTCTCAAAGTGCATCTTCCCTTTCTGGAGCCGTGCTCACCCCGGTATTTTAAACTGCCATCTGGGTGCTGGAGAAGCTGCTTTATAAACAACCATATTGCTAAATCCAGAGTAGGTTTTTATTTATTAAAAGCAAAAGATTCTGTCTTTTAAAATGCAGCCTTTTCACAGAGGGTCTTACTCCGCCTGGTCTTGGGTTTTGGTGGAACGAAGTGTAACAAAAAGATCTCTGAATGGTTGCTTTCATTAATGTTGCAGCAAAGATTAGGAGTTTTAAGAAGTTTATATGAATTTTTATGAAGCTTTGGAGAGGATATACACAAGGACATCTCTGATTCTGAAAAATTGAGTGAAAGGTTCACGGGATCCAAGCTGTGCAAACACAAACCAAAAAATCACGAGTGAAATGCTCACAGGATCCAAGCTGTGCAAACACCAAAAAATCACGAGTGAAATGCTCACAGGATCCAAGCTGTGCAAACACAAACCAAAAAATCACGAGTGAAATGCTCACAGGATCTAAGCTGAGCTCACGCAGACCAGCAAATCACGAGTGAAATGCTCACAGGATCCAAGCTGTGCAAACACCAAAAAATCACGAGTGAAATGCTCACAGGATCCAAG